ATGGAAAAATAATTTTAAAATTGGTGTGTTGAGAAGACTGGCTTTGAAAGATGAAACGTGCTCAGATGGGAAGTAGGAAGAGAGATTAGTAGGAAGGATATATGTTCCTCCGTATATAAATCTTGATCTTTCCATGGGTTGGTTTTATCCCACCAGGGTCTGGGAAGAGTGCAGGAAGGGACCCCACCCAAGTTTATTCTTGAACGAATTAAAATTCAAAAGCTCCGGGCATTGAGCTGTGTGGATTGTGAATGTCTGGAAACCAGCATATTTTTTCCTCTCTGAATTGCCTTCTGTTTAGACAGGGCTTAGTGAAACCAGCAGCTAAACCAAGGAGAATTCTGCCATTTTTAGAATGAGGAGCCATACAACTTCAATGCATCAAAGCGGGTGACGCAGGCCCAGTAATTCAGACCGGGCCGCAGCAGAAAGCAGCCTTCCGACCTGCCCAGGCTCCCCCAGCCCATGTCTAGGCCCCCTCCTTCAACCACTCCTTTTGCTTCCCAGGTTCAGTTCCCCCAGATGTAACAGCCTTCGATTTCCTGCAGCGTCTGTGAGCTGCTGGCCTGCCAAGCTGGCTTCTCCCTGCAGCTTCCAGGTGGATGCATGTTCTGTTCCCCAGGGCCATGTCCTCGGGGCATTCGGAGGCTGAGTGGGCGTGCCTGGGAGCAGCCCCCTGTGGGGCCCGCAGCCTTTGTGTGTGTGCAGGAACAATTCTTCCTGGGAACACAAGAGACTGAAGGTCCCACCCCATCCCTCCAACCCTACTTCCTGCACTTCTCAATGGCAGGGGTGTGACCTGGGGGGTCTCTTGCGGACGGACGCAGCGCCTGCGCAGCCCCTTATCTCCACGTGCCCTCCCCCCCTCTCCTGGTTCTGTGGGAGAGGCTTTCCTGCCTGCTGCAGGCTGGGCAGGCCAAATGCAAGTTTTCCAGGATGTGGGCATGGCACACAGGTGGGTCTACACACCCAGATCCCAGGCCTGTACGTTTGGGAAGTGCATTAGGGAGAAACCTCCACCTGACCTCTTTATGTCATTTTCTAAAAGAAAGAATCAGGTTATGGTAACTGTGGTGTCTTTAATGCACAGAGATAGCACTCCAAAAAGTGAAGTAACTGACGTGAGCTGTGGTCCAGTGCCCGGTGCATCTGGCCACTGCCTCTTGGGAAAGTCCCCGTAGCCCAGGCCTGGCCCTGATGGTCACCATGGCGCCCTGAGGTGTCAGTTTGCCTGTTGTGTGGCCTTGTTCCCTTTACAATGCGCTTTCTTAGGTCGCTCCTCACTTATTCGGGATTCCTGACTACCCAGCAGGCTCGGGCAATGTGATTTTTTTCTTTTTTAACTGCCAAGGAGCAGGCTGGGCTGGACCGGAGCTTGGGGCTCGGGCGGCTGTACCGGGCAGCGGGCTGCCTCTCCAGACGTGATTGATGAGGGACAGCTCTGAAGTCTGCGAAGGATGCTCACGTCAGTTCTTCAGAGGGGTGTGGCTTTGAGAGAGAGCACTTCGCCTACGGAGGATGGGTTTGGACCCAGACAAGGCAACGTTATGGGCCTGGTCTCCCGGGCTGGGCCGTCCCGGCTGTGGCTCAGGGGCTCCTCTTGGGTTTTGGGGGACAGTGAAGGGTCGTGCCTGGGGCTGGGCAGGGATTGAAGAACTGGATCTGCATATTCTCCTGGGGCCCAAGAGGAGATGGAATTGCCCAAGGTGGGCTCAGCCACTCTAGGTTTGGAAAGCCCAGAACAATCCACCCAGCAGGTCCTTGCTGTGCTCACACCCACCCTCAACCTTGACCTCTGCAGTTAGTTGTGGCACCGGGTGGAGAACCCAGGGGGCCTGCTACCCAGAATGCAATTCCTTTCCAATCAGGGCTGGGGTGGAGGTCAGGGAACCGGACAGGTTGGAAGAGAGAAGGAGGCAGGGCTGGAAGGTTGGGGGTGGGTGGGACAAAGGTCCAAATTGAAGCAGGTTGGGGGTTCAGTACTTAGTGTCAGGTGGGACGGAACAGCACGTATGCACCCCTGTCCTCAGCACGCACAGGTGCCTGGCACAGGGCTGGTGTTGGGGGCGCTGAGATGAATGAGCTCATCTTTGTGTTGAGTAGACTGTGAGATGAACAAACACGTTTTGTGATGAGCAGAGGGTCCCCTGTACCTTTACCTGCAAGGTCACCTTGACCGAGGAGCAGAGGAGGGTTCTGGAAGGCTGTGGGGGGCTTGCAATGTGCAGCTGTCTAATCCGGGCCCGTCCGTGGAGCCTTCCTAGGCTAGAGTCCTATAACTTCCCCCTTCCCTCCCAGAGTTTGTGGGGTGGGACGGGGTGATCCTCTCCCAAAGTAAGGGGCTGATCCCAGGGTCACACAGGATCCTGGGAGGCCGGAACATTGCCTGTCTTCTCCTTGAGAGGGATGGGTTCCAGTCAGGAGCCCCTAGTGGTGTGAGTCCTGTTTTCGGGCATCCTGAGAAGGCAGGTATAGTCCCTGGGGTTTCAGAACCTCAGAGCCGGTGGGATGGTGCCTGCTCTCTGTGCGAGCCTCGCCCTCTGACCTCTGATGAGGTATGTCCCTATTTGGGGAGCCAGGAGCTGGCCTGTGATGGTGCCCGGTCGCTGACTCCTTGGTGGCCGAGGCAGAAGTGACAGTAAAAAAGCTTCACTTCGCTGGCCTTTCTCCTGGGGCCGGGAGCTCCCCGTGCGTCTGTGGCCACCTCAGAAACCCTGGGTCTGCTCCTGGCATGGAGCGTGGGGATGAGGCGGAGAGAGACACGGACATATTCTTACCTACCGCTCTTTAGTGCCGCTCGCACGAGAGACCTTGAGACCCGTTTCTTCTTTAAAGCATGGAAGATTCTGACGTAGTCCCTATTCCTGTCGTAAACGTCTGAGGCCGAACGGGTGCCCTGCCGTATAGTTTCGTTCAGTTTGGGGGCATCTGAGTTTCCTTTCTCTGCTTTATTTGTTCGGGAGTGACAAGTGGGTGTTTAGGCCCCAGTGTCGGCGGGTGGATATGCTTTTTCCAGACTTTCTAGGTTTCATATAACTGTGCAGGTTGGGGCGTTCTGCTCCTTGTGCCATAGGGTGTAGGGATTATGATTACTTTTTATTGTTTCTTGCCATCCTACAACTGGATGCAGGACCTATCTGTGACTTTGTTGGTGTTGTTTTTTTAAAATATATTTTTATTGATTTCAGAGAGGAAGGGAGAGGGAGAGATAGAAGCATCAATGATGAGAGAGAATCATTGGTCAGCTGCCTCTTGCACATCCCACACTGGGAATCAAGCCCACAACCCTTGCATGTGTCCTGTCTCCTGCATATCCCACACTGGGGATTGAGCCCACAACCCTTGCATGTGCCCTGTCAGGGAATCAAACCGTGACCTCCTGGTTCATAGGTCAGGGGTCAACCACTGAGCCACACGGACTGGGCTATCTGTGACTTTGCACATGCCCCTCGCCCAGCCCCAGGGTGAGATTGTGTGGGCCTGCTGAGTTCTCCTGGTTACCAGGACCCCGCTAGGAGCTGCTTAGCTCTCTGCAGGGAGGACGAGTAACTCGCTTGACATTCCGTAGTAATTTAGCAGCGGTTAATGGCCACTTACTGGAAAATGTTACCAGGCTCTGCGGTGAGTGTTGTTAGGAAGTGAATTACTCTGGACGTGTCCCCAGGGCCCTTCCCCTTCTCCTCCAGCAGAGCTGGGCTGCAGGAAGTGGCACTGTGTTGCAATCCCGGCTTCACTGTTCCCTTGTATTATTTATTTTGTTTCAGATTTAAGGAGATTGTGTATTTATGTAGAAAAGTTTCCAAAGTAAGTATGTTGCTTTTCATGGTACCAGAGGCTTAGAGCCCAAGGGGGTGAGGGGTGTCCCCTGGGTTATTTTGCTGGCTACCCCTCACCCGAAGGTGCCCAGGGGCAGCCGTGAGCCAGGGTCCAGCAAAGTCAGGGTCACCTGTCATTAATCTGAGTCGTCTGAGCTGAACACCTCTCCATGTCTTTACACATGTCCTGAGTGCAGACGGCTGGTTGCTTCCTGGCTGTTGTGCAATCCCTCCCTTTGCAAAACCTCGGATGGGCCGCAGAGATGACAGCATGTGGCTTTTTGAGCCTGCCGAGCCTGGGGTAGAATTTTGGCTTTGTCGTTGACTAGCTGTGTGACCTTGGACAGTTCACTCAACCTCTCTGAGCCTCAGGGGTGTTACCTGTCAACAGGTAAATGGCGATACGGGCTCTCAGGGATGAAGGATATGTGCCATGGTGTGAGTCGACACAGGGCCAGGAACATGCTAAACACTTTTCCTTGCCAACTTCAAAATAAAACAGCCCCCTTTGGCAGGGTGGAGCGTTGGGAACTGAGGGAGTGGGGAGGAAAGAGCTCATCCTTTGGTTTTCTTTTGACCTG